TTTTTTTTTTTTTTTTTTTTTTGGATGGCCTGAAATACACGTATTGAAGGATAATCCTGTAACCTCCATTATCCGAGGACTCTTAATGTCAGAGTGAATCTGTTCTATTCTACTTGGTCTATTTGTAATAATTAACGCTTAAGCGGTGAACTTGGGATATAGTGATTTATATTACATTACAAAAATTTAAGGTGAATCAATTTTGTATTTCATTATCCTCTCCGAGATATATTGGTGGTATTGATGAAATTAAAAACTCGAAAATTAAGTAATGCGGATACCTAAAATTTCCTGACTGATTGAACCAGTTGTATTATTCGAGCGAGAAAACTTAGAAGTTTTTATTACAAAATTTTACTAAACTGTGCATAACATGGGGCTATGATTAATTCTGTTATCCAAATAGAATATTTAGTAAGTAGTAATAATAATGTATTAATTTGTTTTATATCAATTATTATAACACGTTTGTCATAATTCTAGGCAGAATTTATTAAAATACAAGACACGAGGTTGTATCAAAGAAAACGTAGACGAGGCTACAGGCATTTAACTCCGTGATAAATTAATATTTTGTTTATAAATGACGAAAATGTCGCAGACATAACTTTTCCACTAACTGAAGCAGTAAGCGAAAACAATGAAAATGTACGGCTTTCATTGTCAAAATCTTCAGTAAATGGAGTAGTTTAATCGTAACATTGTAGTGGCTATATTATAATTAAACTCTTTCATCAATTCATGATTTGCGTAGAACAAAATCTTTAGTTTTTAATGAGAAGTAATTTACATTATCCTCCACATATTACATACGTATGTAGGTGTAATTGCAAATGGTAGAATATCCTTAATAAAATTAAATAAAAGTTAAAGGAACAGAACATACTCATAAAACATTATAATATCCACGTATATTAGAAACAACAATTTGTCCACAACTCCAGAAGAATAAGCGTGAAAAGAATACGAAGGAGTAAAAATGATTTCACTTCCAATTAATATTGTGAATTATGTGTAGAAATCTAAATGATATAATAATAACAATTTATTTGTTATCACAAGTCCAGGAGACTAGGCGTGACAGAAATATGAAAGAAATAAAAATTACTCCGTTCCCTTATTGCATGTATTGTAGGAAAACTACACTGTGAATAACGCCTATAACAACGACGATTCATCGGCATCTGCCCGAGAAAACAAATAATTACTCAATTCCCAAATAACAGTGTAATATCGTAGAATCGCTTGGGCGTCGAAAGCAATAGAGTGAGAAAGGGTAACGAACAAAAATCGTCGATTCCGCGGATGATTACCGCATCGTCGGACACAGAGGGGCAGAAAGAAAGAGAGAGGGAGAGGGAGAGAGAGAGAGAGAGAGAGGCTAGGAAGCAGCCGGATGATAAAAGCAAATGGTAACATTCTCGATGTTTATGACGTGATTTCGCGGTGAGTTTCACGGAGCGGGGTTTGAAATTAAATCCAACGGTTTTCGGGCCAGAGAAAATAATCTCTGGCGAAAGTTGGCCAGACTTTTTTCCACGCTGCTGCGGTATTCATCTGCCCTCTTGCCGCTCGCCGGTCTCTCCAATCGTATGGGGGCGCAAGCGGAAGAGCGGGAGTCGATGACGTCTCGCGCGATCAAGGCTGCAGAGGGATGGTGGTGGTTGGATACCCGGCGACGTTCACCCTCGCCCGTCTTCGTTCACCTCTGATACGAGGGGTTGAGAATTCGGGGGCGGGTCGTATCGAGCACTCGAGGGCTGCAGGCGGAGCTTACCGTCCGCTACACGAGACAAGGAGAGGGAAGGAAGATGTGGTACGAGCGCGCGCGCAAGCACGCGCCCGCACGCACGTACTACGCACGCACGCATGCACGCATGCCGGTTCACACCCATCAAGGGAAAACGGAGGAAGGACACTGGATGCAGACACAGGAGAAAGGAGAGGGAATGCAGCCGCGAGTAAGAATACGAAACTAAACTGCGGAACATACATGCATCGACGAGCGGATGAATCAAGAGGATCGGAAAATTGCAGCGGAATGGCCACGGAAGCAGATAGCAGGATAGGTGATGATAAGCTTCATTTTATAAATAAGAAATAAATTACCAGTTACGTTACGGTCAGATTTGACTCTTTGATGAAGCTTGTGATTTTAACCAACAAGACAGCGGAAAAATGATGTGGCCAGTCTTAAATACTTGATTGATTTCTCGATTTAAAATTTTATTTTAAGAGAATTTGTTCTTCTTTGCAAATATAGCATGGAAACGAGAAGAAGAAAGGAACTGCAGTTGCGAATAAGAATACGAAACTAAACTGCGAACAAATCATCAGAATCGGGAATTTGCAGTAAAATGGATGAGTGTAGAAGGAAGATCGATTGGTATGCAATTGAAGTAAAAATGATAAGTGATGATAAGCTTCATTTTATAAACAGAGGGAAGTTAGATTAGGTTCTTTGACGAACTGTGGTTTTAAGGTTAAATGTAAAATTTGTTTAAAAAATGAAAAAGACGCGTGTATTTGAAATTTCCTGATGAACGGGCAAATTTATCAAAATAAAAAATAATTGAGATAGTAACAGGATAACAACACTGGAGGTACCTTATTCCGTAAAAATTATTACTAGACTTAAATAAAACTTCACCAAACATAAATCTAACGAGACTTTGCAATTTTTTTTCACTTTTGAAACGATAATGTCTTAACTAACCGTTACGCGGCATTACGGCAATTAAACACTATGCAACAGTATACAATATTAGGACAGTGTTAACAAATCTTGCTCTTCGAAATGAACGAAAAGTGACCAAAAGCGGGAGAGAAAAAGATATTAACAATGCCAGATGGAATCACAAAGTGAAGAAGTGTGTACTCGGTACAATAAGAGGTTGGACCAGTAGGGGGTGGCAAATATGAGCAATAGTGGGGTGGAATAGCGTTAAGTACAGATAATGGCTGGTGTTTACCGGTATGGTGATCAGCATGATTTAAGAGCAGCCTGGCGTGAAGCGGCTAATAGGACCCCAAATAAATTAAATTATCATGATAAAAGTGTAGCGGGGTGAAAACGACGTTAACCTTAACGGCACCCCACTGCTTCACCCTGCACAGAGGAGAACGAAAATGGTGATTGTCCACTCGATGGTGCCGCCCTTCTTGTTTACCGACATCTGTCATAACTTGCACCATTTCTCCCTGGCACCTTCGTGCTCGTGCAATTTCAGTGGCTTCCCAATACTACGTATCGATGCTTTCGTTTTTCTTTCTTTTTTTTTCTTTTTTTTTTCTTCTTTTTAAATTCAACTCTGCTCGATTTAATGAAAATTCGCCGAGAAGATATCGGAGAGACTAAGAGTGACAAAAGTTTTACACATTTTCTTGTGTTGTATAATTTGTACTTGTCGATCTTCAATTCAGAGAAATTTGAAGAAAACAGGTCAATGAAACTTTCTATTTTTTCAAAAATATTCGTGTCTCACGATTTTCTTTTCAATCTCCTTAAGTTAAACTGTAATTTGTGTACATCGTGAAATATTACATTAATTTTACTTAGAACTTGAATTTAAAATTCGAATTTAAGTGAAATTTAAAATTCAAATACTATAGGATTGTAATTTGCTTTTTCTTTCGAATGGAAACCATAATTCGCACCACGAATTAGCTACACAGCTGTCTGTATAATTAATAATTATAATGGTCTTTACAGAATTTTGCTTTCCAGTGTCTACAAAATAAATCAAAGGTATAAAAATATATAAAATACACGACGTAGAGTCGAGCCCATCTTTTGATCATAAAAATAAAAATAAAAATTTTTATTCATTTTATAATATCTGCCATAATATCTATTTTCCAAAAAAGCTTCTTAACCATGTATCACAACGAATTAAAAAGGATGATAAAAATTGTTTCAATCATTAAAACAGAATGTAATTATTGAAAAATTATCTAGAGAATTTATAGAAGAATAGATCAATCAAACAACAAGAAATTTAATATACTCTTTTCTATGTTCATTAATAAAAAAAAAAAAAACATTTCTATGAACTTTGCGCAGCGCTATAATTCGACGATTATTTATTTCGGAGTTGATAACGATACAAATCACGGCAGATTAATAGAGGAGACGAAAGCAATCGTCGCGATAGTAATTGCGACGATAAAGAAGAAAAAGGAGAAAAATCATCGAACCATATGTGCTCAGCGGGTGGCAAACCATCTCCTCGAGGGACGATTAATGTATCTACGAACGACATAAATAACGAAAGCCAAACGATCAACGGTTTGCATTTGGAACTAATATGGGTTGCAATATGGTATAACGTATTATATGATATTTGTAACGTTCGAGCGCGTTTTTCTAGATGGGGTTATTTCAATCAATAGTAGGATAAATTACGGTCGAATTTTGCTTGTAATTCGCCATATGCAGTTATGAACAACTTTTGATTCCGATCTATAACGAGTCATGAAAATAATGGAATATTTATTGAAGAAAACTTTTAGATGTACCTACCTACACTCATATTCATAAATTTTAGGATATTTTCCATTTTTATTACAATATTAACGACTGAGTTGAGAGGCAATGAATTTTGAATTCTATAGATTTTTTGATAAAATTATTGCTACACTGCAATGTTAATTGTGTAATGTGCATTTTCTTCAATTTTGGAGCAAATAAATTTCGATGTTACAGCAAATGTAATGATTATTCTAAGGCTTTTATCTATATTACTTTTCGAAATTTTAATGACTTTGTAATGACAGAATAGATTTTTTTTTTTACGCAAACCTAATTAATCCAACAATAACATTTGCTACGGAATTTTTATGAATGTATCCATTATGTATGTTACACGAAAGCTTTCCAAAGCTTTATTAATTTTTTAATGAATAGACTGTGGATTTGCGTGCAAATTTATAAACATATCTACAGAACTTAGGTTCATTTTTACACAGTGATAGGATTCTTGTATATCTTTAAATTTCACACGAATGCCTGAAAATTCACAACTTGCTATGACCCTTGATACCTAGAACTATATTTTTAGATTCGTTCGAACGTTTTACACTGCATTGCATTTGTCGATAAAATTTCAACAAAATTCTCCGTAACACGAAAATCATGTTTGCAAGGCTTGCCACCTTCGCAAGTCACTGCAGCAATGCGACAAGCATTGCGAGATAGCACCATCGTTAGATTTCGATGTGGTTCACCATACATGTTCCTCCAAATGCTTTCAACTTAGGACGCGCGACCCACCAATTCATCTATATATGTAGCAAGTGTGTGACCGGCTGTCAATGTTTGTACACATGGCGATGTTTAGTCGCGCGTACAGCCAGATTAATCTGGAACGTGCGATACCCTTATGTCACTCTTAATCAGCCGCTTAGTCAAACATTCAACGCCATCGGCCTATTTCATTTTTCCGCCTTAGGACAAGTTGTGTTGACAGATCTCGCCTGCGACGATGCACTCCAATTGCAACGAAATGCAACAAACATATTTTTCGCAAACGAGACGAGAAGATGCCCCGATAGAGAGGATTATATTATTGTTAAACTGTGTATGTGTATAATTATTTTCGAACGTTACGTGAACTTTCAGTTACTAGAAACTAAAATTAAATATAAATTGAATTTTTTAATTTAAAATATCGTAGTTCGCGAAATTCCAGTTCAAATATCATACTAGACTTATCCAAATTCTGAAAGATGAAAAGAACGATGACGAAACTATAAATCATACACTTTGTACACGTGAATTATTTTTTGACAGAGAGACGAACATTTGCTAGAAAAATAAATTTCAAGAATTCCAAACACTGCCTTTATTCGGTCTGTCCGACAGAAATTTAAAAAAGATAATAAGTCGATTAATTAATTTTTCAAATCCTACAATTAGAATGTACAATTTTAATAATCACGTTCACCACGTATATAAATGTACTGTGATTAAAATTGTACAACTTGACAATCATTGGTCTATCCTTGTTGTTCCCTGTTGCCAGGACAGTCAAATTTCGTTTTGATTTATTGTGCGTATAAAGTCATAAAGGAGAGAAAATCGGGTCTGGCCAAGACCCGTTCATAGGGCTAATCGTTAGGGCGGTCACCCTCTGTCCTCCCCTTTCTACCATTCCCCCTTCCTATTTTCAACCCCAAATCATAGTATTGCAACCCAAGGGGGATTTACACTGGCGGTAATTGCATTAGCATTCGATGATTTTTATTGGTCTCTCTTTGCGATTAGTATTAATTCGAGCCAACGTATTATCAATAACACGCATTACTGATTTCCTTCTGTCTACTCCAATTGCGTGTTTCATATCAGCGTGGAATAAATGATAAATAAATACTGCAGATGTGCAAGTATAAAAACGAGAACGAAAAAAATGTGCTGTATTTTTTTTTTTTTTTATGTCCAAGATAATTAAAATGATTTCGACAATTACGAATAGTGATAAAGACAAGACAGAATAAAGAATTTTAATTTTAATAATCATTAAGTTTTGAAGTATGGAATATATTAATCCATAGATTTGAATGAAAGGTTAAACAAGCAAAACCTAGGTAGAAATTCATTTCATCTATTACTACAATTGTGTATTGAACTCTGAATGATATTTTGAATCTTTTCATAAATACACTTTTAATCCATGAAGAACCCTAATTTTAATCTATTGGCCCATTGCAAAATTTCACTTGTGAATTGGAAATGGAATGAAAATCTTTCGTTGTTATTCCTTCTATATAGCCAGTGTCTACGATTAGCTAATATAAAATTAAAAGAAATTTAAACATTCAGATAAATACTTAAAAATCCAGATTTCCGAAATCACGCTTTGCACATCGTCGATAAATGTAGATCAATATTTCGTATATACGAAAACTATTTTCTACATTGTCGGAAGAAATCATCTCGCTCTTTAAAGGAGCACCGAATACATAAGAATATGAAATAATTTATATTATGTGTAATAATATAATATAATACAAAGTCTGTTTATCATCGACAGGTTGCGCGGCTCAGCACGCCCTCCTTGGAAAAACCAGAAGGCCGAGAACCGCTTTCACGTCGCAACAGCTACTCGAATTGGAAAAACAATTTCGACAGAACAAGTACCTTAGCAGACCGAAGAGATTCGAAGTGGCCACTTCGTTAATGCTCACGGAAACACAGGTAAACGATGCTTCATCTGTATATTGTGAATCACTAAACCGAATTAAACTGAATACATAAAAGATTAATCCTCGTCCAACGGAAGCTGGATCGATTGTTGTTACGATCATCGACTATTTCATTTGATAGCCATAAAGCGAACGAGATAAGATCTCTATGCAAATTTATATTTACATAACATTATAGGAATTATTATATTATAGATAAAAATATTAAAGAAAACTCTATTATATTGCTGCGTAGATATTCGTAGTCAGAGTAATTCCGAAGATTTCCTAGAAATTATAAAATTTTGTACACTATATATATAGCTATTATATACTCATATTTTTAAGAATTTTAATTAAAATATTACAAGTATTTCATTCGTAGTAAGAATTCATCAGAGTATTTCAAAATTTCCTATAAGTACATAAAAATCGGCAGTCCAGTGACAACCAAGATCACTTGAAATAATAATTTGATAAAAATGTAAGCTTCGAAGGTACGTAAAGTAATTGTACGAGTCAGAAAATTGACGCAGCTCTCGTCGATCGAGGATTAATAGCTCTCTTAATCGCTTCAAATTCATTCTCCTCTGCGATTTTCGCCTTTTCTTTTTTTTTTTTTTACCCCGGTTTTCTTTCTT